TAGTCGGCTTTGTACTCCATTCTTCTAGTGACAGTTTAAGAGGTGTCAATAAAGGAGTGTTGATCTTGGAAAGTCCACCACCATAACAATCAAACCTTTGGAAGGAAAAAAAAGCTTCCTGTAATTATGTTTTAAATGTGAAATTTTTACATACAATGTGAATCCAAGTATTAAGTCCTTAATGTTTAGTTATGAGCAAAGACAGAATAAGACCTCAATTTTGAAAAAAAATCATACACAAAAATATTAAAATAGAGCCTACGATGATAATAATAGTATACACCTTTAATCCTGGCACTTAGGAAGCAGAGGCAGGTGGATCAAGTACATGGCCAACCTGGTCTACATAGCAAATTCCAGGCCAGCCAGGGATACACAGTGGGGAGCCTCTTTAAAAAAAGCAAAAAAGTTTAAATAACTGATATTTGGATGTTTCTGTGGAAAGTATATTTTCTTCATTCTTTTATTAGATTTATAACACTAGAAAATAAGAATTCTTAAAAGACCAAACTTTTAAAACCAAAGTCTTCTATATTCTGTTTTTGCTTCATGTAATATATATTAAAACGACTAAAAAAGACCCTACATCTCTTTGATGACATTTGAGGACTGCTAGGATGCTCTCATGGTAATTTCAAACAAGTCAATAAATAAATGTGGAAACCATGAACTGTCCAATAGCATTTCAGAAAAGACAGATTATCCAAAAACATCCATTTTTTATATCTATTTTTAATAGCTTTTGTACCAATTCTCAACTATAAAATTTCCCAAAGTTTTCAGAGATGAGTTGGATTTCCTAACTTTCCTTAAAACTAAGAAGAATTTTGCTTCATTATCCTCCCAAAAAAAGTGTGAGTCTGGTGGCTTACATCTCTAATCCTTCAGCATCTGAGGCAAGAGGACAGCTGCATGTAGAGGCCACCATAGCTATAACAGTGAATGAAACCCTGTCTCAGAGAAGGGGATGGAAGGGAAATTTAAAAAAAAAAAAAAAAAAAAAAAAAAAAAGGAACATTAAAGCTTTCTCCCCTTCAGGCAGTTCCACTGAGGCGAAACACTATTACTAGCACCTACATGACTTTAAAAGGATAGATCTGAGAATTGTGCTGTTTTTTTGTGGGGTTTGGTTCTTTGTTTTCTTTTTAGTTCTAGAGATCAAATCCGGGACCTCATGTTTGCTAGACAAGCACACTACCTGAGCTGTGTGACCAGCCCCCCAAAGCATATTTATGTATTTATACCCAAACAACCCACCTACTAAGAGCAGAGTGGTTCTTACAATGACTTCACTTCACACAGCACTGAAACAAAGCTACTATTTCCCTCATTTATTCACAATACTCACTCCAAGCCACTAGCAGCAAAGCACTTCAGATGGATAGTGATAACTTCAGGCATTTTATCAAATAAGAGACTTCGCTCTGCTTCTGTATAATGATGGCAATTTTCACAAAAATATTTATCTTCCCCTACAATTCTCTCCACTGAAGCAAACTGTGAAATTGCCCATCTCAAGGTCTTCATTTCTGTTTTTGGCTCTGGAGAAACTATAAAACAGAATTGTTCACTCATAATATCTTTCAGACAGTCAAAAATTAACAAAGTTCCATGTGTAATATTATTCAGTTTCAAATAACCCATCCCCAACATCTAAAGAGATTTCTTTTACTTTCAGTTATCCTAAAGTACACATACATGTCTTCTAAAGATCATTAGCCAAGAAGGAAAAAGGAAAAAATGTTAGGGACAGCAAAAGCCAAGTCAACCCAGTCCTTGCTCAGTCTAAGTCAACTGCCAGTATTCTCCAGGTAAGTAAAGCCAGTCTCATGATTCCTCAGGACATTCCACACTTTTCATGGTTTACACTGAACACAACAGTGGCTCAAGTATTAATTTTAAAATTATCACCGGGCGGTGGTGGCGCACGCCTTTAATCCCAGCACTCGGGAGGCAGTCAGGGGGATCTCTGTGAGTTCGAGGCCAGCCTGGTCTACAAAACGAGTTCCAGGAAAGGCGCAAAGCTACACAGAGAAACCCTGTCTTGAAAAACCAAAAAAAAAAAAAAAAAAAAGCCCAGTTGCCAAAATATTAAGAACTCAAATGTTAAATTATTTCATTTTTGCATTCCAACATTTTACATTAAAATGCTATAGTTTCATAAATGGAATTAACAAGTGGTGCAATAGAAAAAAGGAAAGCTATATATTATGTACCAAGACACTATACTATGTATTATATACCAAGACACTATACTATATATTATATTCCAAGCACTACTATATATTATATACCAAGACACTATATAAATATTATATACCAAGGATACTACATTATGCTGGAGAACACTAACTAGCCCATGGTCCACACCAGCTCCCACTTGCTTACTTTCAGAGCTCTCCTCAACTTTAGACAGCTCATCTTCTTGTACCGGGACACTAATATCCTGAAAATCTTCTCTTCTTTCTGTTAAGCTTTCACATTCCAAACAGCGAGTCCTTAATACTAGCTGACCTTGAAATAATTTCTCTACGAGTTCAAAACCAACTTGTTCTGCACCTAAAATAAAAACAGGAAAATTGAGTGTACACAGATTTGTTTTTCAGTATAGTCCAAGTCAACAATTTCTCACTGAAATAAAATATATCATGAATGAACACAAGACCCATTTTCACATCTAATTAAGCAGTGCCTTATTCATGAAATGTAGTCACTACCAAAAAATTTTTACATAGAAATTACTATCTTCAACTTGCTTCCCAAAGACATGTCCTTATAGAACTGCCCCAAAGAAAGAAAACAACTTTGGTACAATCATCAACCACATTAACTACAGATTTTTTCCTAAGATGCATACATGTATAAACAAAATCTCTACTAAGATTCACTGAATGTGTCCCTTATGAGCTTATGTCGTACTGTGTACATAAAACGGGGAGGAAGGACAGAAATACCACAGCTTTTCCATTAAAAAATATACTGAACTTCCCTAGTTTAGAAACCAACAAGCAAAATAATCTTAATGTTAATAACAAGAGCATTCCATAATACATGTTCACACACTCCATCACGCTTTAAACACTGCAGCTGACATCTAATGATAAATTACCTTCTCAAAACAAGATCTCAAATATTGTGTCTTTCTATAGCTATCAATATCCCAACTTGTCCATCTAATAACTACACTGACCTTTGTTTATGGGCTTAACTTCACTAACGTGCACAGGTTTAACACTGCTTCCTGGAGATTCGAGAATACCACCATTGGCTGTGTTCTCACTTT